GAAGCGTGGGAAGTTCAAGAAGATGAGGCTGGCATCTCCCTAAGGAATTCACGGTGTTGTGGCTGGCTGGCTTGGGGACTGGGGCTCAGTCTGGGGAGATTTTCTGTCTGGAGGTTGTAGCTAATAAATGCAACAGAACTGTATTTGCATTGGCTCTTGGAGTTCTTTGGGCTGAACCTGACAGAAAGCCGAATGGCTTCCATCCAGCAAAAGCCTTGAGAAAATTTTACTTACATTTAGGCCATCCATAATCTCCAACATGCTGTTTAAAATGAGGCCCTTTCTGCATATTTTTTCAATTTTTCCAATACTTGTGTGTGTTTCAGTCAGAACTCAGCCCACTCCTAAGCCAGTCTGGCCAATCTGGTCGCTTTCAAGAACAAATGTGACCACTCAACTTTAGATAACCTCAAGGACATTCTACCAGCTCTGCTGTCCAAAATGACTGTCCAGGCAAACAATCTGTGCTGCTTACAGCAAGACAGGGCACAGATGACCTCCTGGAAGAAAACCTGATTAACACCTTCAGTGCCTTGTCAGACTTGGAACAAGCTGACATTATTAAAAGGCTGGATGATCTGAGAGAAACTTTAGTGACAACACACAACGCTGACGAACTTCTAATCCATTTGGTTTTACCAAACACCCAAGGCAACTGTAAGTACTCTGAGAGAGGACTTGTGGGCATCTTGGCCCCCTCCCCTGACTTGGATGCTGTCAATAGACAAGAGGATGGTCTTAACTGTCTAAAATCCTGGGAACCATAACTAGAGCTAGATGATGGGCCACACCAGGAACATGAAATGGATATTTGTAGCCTAAATACATCCAGTAACCCATATAGTCTCCAGCTCTCCAGGCAAACCTCTGCTCTAGGAACCACAGGAAATTATGCAAAGGTAGCCCCTGAGGTAGGAAGAAGACCACTGTCCAGGGCTGTGACAACTGCTCTGGCCAGTGATATAGACATGAAACAACAACTTGCTAAAGTTCACTATCTTATGCATAAACTATTACAAAACTTACCTGACTCGATACAGCAGCAAGAGAGCAGAAAAGGTAGGCCAAATTACAATCAGTGTACCTTCCTAGATACTGAATGAATTTTGGACCTCATCTCACCTGTAGAATGACTGCATGAGCCACACCATCCAACCACAGACCTCAACAAATTGCCAGCTACCCCTTCTGACAACAAACAAGAAATTTCTCTTCAACTATTGTCATGGAATATAGCCAGATGGAAGAACAGAATGTCAAACGGAGATCTGTTGGAATTCCTCTCCACGTTCGACATCATAGCACTCCAAGAGACACGGTTAACCACCGGTGATGAAGATGCTCACCTACTAGGCTTTAGATCATGGTCTACACCAGCATGTAAATTCAAGTTAAAAGGGCGGGCCTCGGGGATTATGCATACTTGTCAAGGCAGAGTAGGGCTGGCAAGGGTAGGAACTGACCTTCAGAGAAGACTCCTTCTATCTTCCAGCTATTCAATTTAAATTCAAATCATCTGAAGTTGTGCTGCTAAATGTATACCTATCCCCATATTCCTCTCCCTGCTTCTCCCCTGACATCTGGGTGCAATTAGAAAAGACAGTCTTAAATATAAAACATCGTAAAGCCGTTGTGATCCTACTGGGAGACTCAACGCTATGGTGGGGGCTTCCTTGCATGATTATGTCCACTTAGGCAGCATACCCGAGGACTATTTATCAAATGACTCACCCTGGCACTCCAGAGACTCTAAAAAGAACATGGCAGGCTCCAAACAGATCTCCTTGATCTACACATGCAATCTTCACATCCTAGGAGGCAAAGACAGTTGCTTCATATATCCCTTTACCTTCCATGCTGGGAATGCTATTAGTGTCCTGGATTACATATGTGTCTCAACAGACAAAATTGACTTATTCTCAGACATTCAAGCTTACATGAGGGAGGACAGTGACCATCAACCAATTGCAGTTAACTTTTATGGCAGTTCTGATTTAAGAAAACCCATACCACATAACAAGAGGCTACTCACTAACCTTGAAGTGAGGCAAGCTAGGAGGCTCCAATGGTCTAAGGTGGACACCAAGGCAATTGCCAGCTTCATGGACTCTGAGAGGGCCCAGTCCTGGGTGAAGATAATTATTACATCTACCCAAGACCCAAACAGAACTTTTACTGGGTATGCCAATCTGTGTTATACGTTAAAAAACTTTTTAATAGAAAAATTGCCAGCTAGGAACTCATAGCTCACAAGATCTAATTGGTTTGACCTTGATTGCTCTCACTCAAAAAAGACCCTAAAAGAAGCTATGCATTTGGTTGAAAGAAACCCCACGCCAAACAATCATGCCAGGATTTTAAAGCAGATACAATTACAAGAAACTAACAGCCACTAAGAAGGTTCAATACACAGCTACAGTTTTGTCTGAGCTAGAAAAGTCAGCAAAAGGGTCCAACTGAGTCATATTTTGGAACATCGTATCTGGCATGCTGAAGGAGCGTAAGCTTTTACTTGATATCCGAATCTCAGCTACAATTTGGGAGGATTTTTATACTAACTTATTTGCTAACTACTCCGAGCAGGATCATCCATAAATGTTGACTACTGAATCTTTGACCCTTGATAATCTCCCTCTTTGGCCACCAGTGTTAGTGACAGAAATTAAACACATTATTCAGTCACTGAAACCCAGTAAGGCACCTGGTAAAGACTTCCTACCCCCAGAACTTTTCAGGACACACATTGACTGGTGGGCTTCACTGCTGGCAGGGCTGATTACCTAGATCAGTGTTTCTCAACCTTGGCAACTTTAAGACCTGTGGACTTCAACTCCCAGAATTCGCCAGCCAGCTGGAATTAAGGTCTTAAAGTTGCCAAGGGTGAGAAACACTGAACTAGATAGACAACACTGGCTATATGGCTGATTACCTAGATCAGTGTTTCTCAACCTTGGCAACTTTAAGACCTGTGGACTTCAACTCCCAGAATTCGCCAGCCAGCTGGAATTAAGGTCTTAAAGTTGCCAAGGTTGAGAAACACTGACCTAGATAGACAACACTGGCTATATCCCAGCAGGTTGGGAACTCTCCATCATAGTTCCCATACACAAAAAAAGGAGACAAGGAAGACCCCAAAAATTAGACTCATAAGCCTTATTGATATAACAGCTAAGATGTTTGCAAAACATCTCTTGAGAAAAATAGAGGATTGGGTGATTGAGAAGAATATATTAGTGGAAGAACAGGCTAGGTTCAGACCTGGGTGATGGATAATTGTTTTGTTCTACACCATCTTATTACCTAATATACAAAAGATGGTAAACATCTGTTTACACCTTTCATTTTTATCAATGTTAACTGTTACTAAAATCAAATCAATAATAATTAGCAAAGGCAACCAGTATAATAGGAGTCATAATCAGAATAAACAATAGGAAATTCTATCTTATGGGAGTTTCTATCTAATGAATCAGACAAAATCAAATACAGTGGTACCTCCGGTCATGAACACTTCTGTTCACGACCAATTCGGGTCACGAACAGCTCCGTTCGCAAAATTTTGCTTCCGTTCGCGAACGCCGCATCAGGTGATGAACAGGATCCGCGGCCATTTTCCCTGCTGTGACATGTGGTGGTGGCTTCCTGAGGGGGGGGGGCCCCCCCCCC